ACAGAATCTTGCATGTTCTGTTGGTAGGTTGGTTCCAGTATTTGAAAATGATATAAAAAAACAAAAAACACAAAACAAAAAACTTTTGCTTTGTTATAAGTGTGCAAACCATATTCACTGTCAGGCCATTACATTCTTATTTGTACCATGTCCTTGATATCAAAGCTCCATCTCACACTTCATTAGCAGCATAGGATCATCTCACATTTTAGTTGGCTTCAAAATAGTGACTTTCTAGCACTTTTTTTTTTTTTTTGCCCACAAGATTTGCCTGCAGCAGGAAAATGTGTGTATGTGTTTTTTGTTTTCTGTGGGTTTTTTTTGCCATCTCAATCACACTATTTTTCAGAGGCCCCTTTTTTTCTGAAGGTCTACCTTGCAGAGTGCTATCTTTTGCTTTACTCAAGACCTGGCAAACTGTAGGCCTATCGCATAGCTTTAATTCTGGGGCTTCTCTACCTTGTTAAATTGTCTTTTTCTAGAGTTACCAGATTTATGAAATAAAAGCACAGAATGCCCAGTTAAATTTTTAATTATATATAAATAATTTTTAGTATAAGCATGTAAATTTATTGTTTCCTATATCCAAAGGCTGCTTCTCTTTCTGTTGACACCCCTGTTTTGATAGAGAATATTCTCAATTACCTTCCTAAAAAAAGAAAGCATAAGAAGCAAACTTACTGAGTTGTCTTTTTTTGTCTCTTCATCTTTTCTTTTCTCTTTTTTTATTTGATTGATGGTATATCTATAGAACTGTAGCTTGAAAAACAATTCCTTTCAGAAATGTGAAGACATCTAGCCTGGCCAATATGGCGAAACCCCATCTGTATCAGAAATACAAAAGTTATCCATTTACATTCCTCATATGTGTCTGATACTACTTGATTATCCATTACTAAAAAAAAAAAAAGGACTGGGTTGTTTGGGTGGATATGCTTTGCTGCTGTGTTAGTTGATCATCTTACCAAAAATACCTCTGCACCATGTAGCGTGACAGGGCTGTGTTGACTGTCATGTTCCGTTACAGAATGAATTGGTGGGACGCTGGATGTCAGGCACTGGCTTTCAAAGTACCATAAAACATGCCTTTACAATCCATGGCCCATGGGCCCCATGTGGCCCAGGATGGCATTCAGTGCAGCCCAACACAAAATCATAAACTTTCTTAAAACATTGTGAGATTTTTTTTTTTTTTTTTTTTTGCAATTTTAGCTTTAGCTCATCAGCTATCATTAGTGTTGGTGGCTTTTTTAAATGTGTGGCTTATGACAATTCTCCTTCTTCCAGTGTGGCCCAGGGAAGTCAAAAGATTGGACACCCCTGCCATAAAATGAAAGGGTGTAGTCTAGAGTCCTGAATTTCACAGAAGCCTTTGCTATCCTCAGAAGGTTCATTCAATAAAAGGGGTATCTGTTTCTGCCTTTGTTTTTTTTTTTTTTTTTTT